CAGCTCCCTTTTTGGTAGATATATGTTGAAGGGACTTCTTTTGGGGATTGCTTCAACACCAAAGCACCATATCCCAGATCTTTTATGGGCTGGAAGTAGGGCTGTCCAGCCATTAAAAAAATTAATCGCCCTGTTAAACAATAATAGAATGCCATTTATTTAGATATTTTTGGATGTTTTCTACATTTTCAAATATATAACACAGAATACAAAGTGTACGGTGCTCACTTTTTATTTATTTTTGATTACAAGTATTTGCACTGTAAAAACAGAAGAAATAGTATTTTTCAGTTTACCTAATACAACTACTGTAGTGCAATCTCTTAACATGAAAGTTGAACTTACAAATGTAGAATAATGTACAAAAAACTGCATTCAAAAACAAAACCATGTAAAACTTTGGAGCCTAGAAAGTCCACTCAGTCCTACTTCTTATTCAGCCAATCACTCAGCCAAACAAGTTTGTTTACATTTGCTGCCCACTTCTTGTTTATAGTGTCATCTGAAAGTAAGAACAGGCATTCTCATGGCACTGTTGTAGCTGGTGTCACAAGATATTTACATGCCAGATGCTCTAAAGATTCATGTGTCCCTTTATGTTTTAACCACCATTCCAGAGGACATGTGTTCATGCTGATGACGGATTCTGCTCGATAACAATCCAAAGCAGTGCAGACCGACGCAGGTTCATTTTCATTATCTGAGTCAGATGCCACCAGCAGAAGGCTGATTTTCTTTTTTGGTGGTTCAGGTTCTGTAGTTTCTGCATTGGAGTGTTGTTCTTTTAAGACTTCTGAAAGCATGCTCCACACCTCGTCCCTCTCAGATTTTGGAAGGCACTTCAGATTCTTAAACCTTGGGTCGAGTGCTGTAGCTATCTTTAGAAATCTCACATTGGTACCTTCTTTGCATTTTGTGAAATCTGCAGTGAAAGTGTTCTTAAAATGAACAACATGTGCTGGGTCATCATCCGAGACTACTATAACATGAAATATATGGCAGAATGCGGGTAAAGCAGAGCAGGGGACATACAATTCTCCCCCAAGGAGTTCAGTCACAAATTTAATTAACAGTTTTTTTTAAAGAGCATCATCAGCATTGAAGTATGTCCTCTGGAATGGTGGCCGAAGCATGAAGGGGCATACAAATGTTTAGTATATCTGGCATGTAAATACCTTGCAATGCCGGCTACAAAAATGCCATGTGAACACCTGTTCTCACTTTCTGGTGACATTGTAAATAAGAAGCAGGCAGCATTATCTCCTGTAAATGTAAACAAACTTGTTTGTTTTAGGGATTGGCTAAACAAGAAGTTGGTCTGAGTGGACTTGTAGGCTCTGAAGTTTTATATGGTTTTGTTTTTGAGTGCAGTTATGTACAAAAAACCTGGCATTTGTAAGTTGCACTTTCACGACAAAGTGATTGCACTACAGTATTTGTATGAGGTGAATTGAAAAATACGATTTCTTTTGTTTATCATTTTTACAGTGCAAATATTTTTAATAAAAAATATACACTTTGATTTTAATTACAACACAGAATACAATATATATGAAAATGTAGAAAAACTTCCAAAATATTTAATAAATTTCAATTGGTATTCTATTGTTTAACAGTGCAATTAAAACTGCGATTAATCGCAATTATTTTTCTAAATCGTGATTAATTTTTTGAGTTAATCGCATGAGTTAACTGCGATTAATTGACAGCTCTACTTGGAAGCAATAACTGATGATCTGCAGATCTGGGGCAAAAATAAGTTAGATTACAATGAGAGACTGTATAATGTTCTGTAGTTTGCCAAAGGAGAAAACCCAACCTTAAATGGTAGAGGAACAAATGCCAGATTGGGCTGAATAAAATTGGTTTTGTAGGACATATACTCAGGGATTGCCTACATGGTGTGGCAATGTACTTTATGGGGGTGTGATTTCTAAAGTGTACTAATGTGTTGCACATCAATTGGTCTGTTTAGACCAGGGGTGGGCAAACTACCACCCGGGGGCTGCATCCGGCCCTCCAGACGTTTTAATTCGGCCCTTGAGCTCCCACCGGGGAGCAGGGTCCAGGGCTTGCCCCACTCTGGCACTCCAGCCAGGGAACAGTATCAGGGGCTTGCCCCACTCCATGCGGTTCCTGGAAGCATCAGCATGTTCCCTCTCCGACTCCTATGTGTAGGAGCAGCCAGGGGCTCCGCACACTGCCCCTGCCCCAAGCGCTGCCCCCGCAGCTCCCATTGGCCAGGAACCACAGCCAATGGGAGCTGCAGGGCGGCGCCTGCGGACAGGGCAGCATACAGAGCCGCCTGGTCGCACCTCCACATAGGAGCCGGAGGGGGGACATGCCACTGCTTCTGGGACCTGCTTGAGGTAAGCGCCACCCGGATCCTGCACCCCTGATTCCCTCCCATGCCCCAACCCTGATCCCCCTCCCGCTCTCCAAACCCTCAGACCCAACCCAGAGCACCTTCCTGCACCCCAACCCCTCTGCCCCAGCCCCACCCCAGAGCCCGCACCCCCAGCCGGAGCCCTCACCCCCTCCCGCACCTCAACTCCCAATTTCGTGAGCATTCATGGTCCGCCATACAATTTCCATACCCAGATGTGGCCCTCAGGCCAAAAAGTTTGCCTACCCCTGGTGTAGACCCTGCTGGTGTGAACTAAAAGTTCCCTAGCATAGTAGTTCTCAACCAGGGGTATGCATATCCCTGAGGCTACACAGAGATCTTCCAGGGATACATCGACATCTAGATATTTGCCTAGTTTTACAACAGGCTACGTAAAAAGCACTAGCGAAGTCAGTAAAAACTAAAATTTCATACAGACAATGACTTGTTTTATACTGCTTTATATACACTGAAATGTAAGTACAATATTTGTATTCCAATTGATTTATTTCATAATTATATGGTAAAAATGAGAAAGTCAGCAATTTTTCTGTAACAGTGTGCTGTGACATGTGTGTATTTTTATGTCTGATTTTGTAAGCAAAAAGTTTTTAAGTGAGGTGAACCCTGGGGGTACACAAGACATATCACATTCCTAAAAGGGGTACAGTAGTCTGGAAAGGTTGAGAGCCACTGCCTAGCATGCTTTAACATAGTATTGTTTGTGTTTGGTTATGGCTGTTATGTTAGCTGTTATGTTTGGGTGTAACTACTGGGTGTGACTATTGCTGTTGGTTGAGGGTGTGACTTTTGGGATCAGATGTGACTTTGGAGTTAGGATATAGCTCTTGTGTAGCTGTGGGGTTCGGGAGTAGTTGTGGGGTTAGGGTTTGGCTATTGAGTTCAGTTGTGGCTGTTGGGTAAGGTTGTCGCTTTTGGGTGTGGATACAGCTGTTGAGTTAGGATTTGAACTTTGGGTTCCATTGTGGCTATTTGGTCTGGGTGTGACTATTGAGTATTGGTGTGACTGTTTGGTTACATTTTGGGGTTGTTGTTTTTTTTAATTTGACTTTTTTTCTTAAAAAAAGAAGAAGAAGGGGAATTGCTGGTGTGGTTTGAAACTGAGCCCTGCCATTTGACACATGACAGAGCTGTGAGCATTTGCAACACTGTCCTGTGTGAGATGATTGGGCCCTGGAAAAGAAGAGTCATTCCTTCTCAGCTCTGCTGAGCCCCACATCCCTTTTACCCTGGCCAGAGCTTGCCAAGCAGGCTAAACAATTTTTTAAAGTGTGTTTTTCTCCCTACCAATAGAGAGCCTGTACAGCCTACCCATCTCCAGAGCCCCGTGTATTGAATTAACTGCTTAGAGCAGCTGGACCTACCCATCCCCGAGAGCCCCGCTATTGGGACACGGCCCTGGGGCGGCTGGGTCTAGCCAGCGCAGAGATCAGGCTATTGGGACACGGCCCCGGGGCGGCTGGGCCTAGCCAGCGCAGAGACCAGGCTATTGGGACACGGCCCCGGGGCGGCTGGGCCTAGCCAGTGCAGAGACCAGGCTATTGGGACACGGCCCCAGGGCGGCTGGGCCTAGCCAGTGCAGAGACCAGGCTATTGGGACACGGCCCCGGGGCAGCTGGGCCTAGCCGAGTGCAGAGACCAGGCTACTGGGACACGGCCCCGGGGCGGCTGGGCCTAGCCCAGTGCAGACACCAGGCTATTGGGACACGGCCCCGGGGCGGCTGGGCCTAGCCAGCGCAGAGACCAGGCTATTGGGACACGGCCCCGGGGCGGCTGGGCCTAGCCAGCGCAGAGACCAGGCTATTGGGACGCCTTTACCTTTGGGCGGCCTATTGGGACACGCCCGGGCCTGGGCCTAGCCAGTGCAGAGACCAGGCTATTGGGACACGGCCCGGGCGCTGGGCCTAGCCGTGCAGAGACCAGGCTATTGGGACACGGCCCCGGGCCTGGGTCGTGACGGCTTTGGGACCGCCCGGCCTGGGTAACCTTTGGGACACGCCCGGGCCTGGGCCTAGCCAGTGCAGAGACCAGGCTATTGGGACACGGCCCCGGGCCGGCTGGGCCTAGCCAGTGCAGAGACCAGGCTATTGGGACACGGCCCCGGGGCGGCTGGGCCTAGCCAGTGGAGAGACCAGGCTATTGGGACACGGCCCCGGGGCGGCTAGGCCTAGCCAGCGCAGAGACCAGGCTATTGGGACACGGCCCCGGGGCGGCTGGGCCTAGCCAGCGCAGAGACCAGGCTATTGGCACACAGCCCCAGGCTATCACGGCAATATTCCTAGCTCTTTACACCAGCATGTGTGGGTTTGCCCTATAGTTGCTGAGTCACTGCAGGCCCCTCTAAAGTGCTGGGTCCCGGCCCTGCACTTGTGTCTGTCCGGCTGTGCCTCCTAGGAGACTCCACCAGGGGTCAAAGCAGGTCTGTGCTCTGAAATGGCCTCTGCTGGCCTCCCAGAGTGGCAGGGGAGGCAATAGCCAAGCAGCATGTGCATTTGCGGGGTGCTCCGAGGCTGACCTGGGCTGCGAGGGTGGCAGAGATTCATTGCTGCAGCAGCAGTAGCAGGCAGCTCAAACGGCGGAAAAAGTGTGAGGGGGAGGAAGGAAGCCCAGACCACAATCTGTGCTCTCACACCCGAGCGAGCGGAGAGCTTGCTGAGAGCTGCAGCCATCCTGCCATCGAGGGGGGAAATCCCCTTCACCCCTCCCCCAGGAAGCTTGCATAGCAAGCAGCCTGCCTGGAACCGGCTGCTGCACGAACAGAGACGAGCAGAGGAACTGAGCTAAATGCTGCTGAGGGAGGGGAAAAGACTCATGAATGACGAGGGGGAGGGAGCTGATATTGGGCACTAGGGCTCTGCGGCCCTCTGGGCTCCATGCTGCTGATAGCGAGAAATGTGAGCTGGCTGCATCACTGCAGTACCCACTGCAGACACACAGAGAGAGGGGGAGAGAGAGCAGCAAGGAACCAGCTCCCAGCACTGAGCATCCTGGGGACAGGCTCCCTCACAGCTCCTGGGGAGAGCCTTCCACAGCAGCAGCCAGAGCAGCAAAGAGACCACCTCCAGCAGTGAGCATCCCCAGGGGACAGGGTCCGCCAGCAACAGAAAGGATTTGGCAAGGCCCTTGCTTCCAGCCAGCCCTGTATCTGCTGTGCTGCCAAGGATCTTGCCTTTGCAGAGATGATCCCAGGAAAGCTACTAGCAGATGCTGCCGCCTCTTGTAAGGTTCTGCCAGTTCAGTAGCCTGCAGATGCCGTGTGCACTTGCCGTCGCAGACAGTGTTGCATCAGCATCTTACCTGTCGAAGCAAAATCCCATCCTGCCCAGAGAGCAGGTTTGCTGTCATACTGGTGCGAGGAGTCAAGGAGGCGAAAGCCCTGGGAAGAGGCAGTTGTCCTTCATCATTGCAGCCTGGAAGAGTCGCATCCCTGGGATCGAAGGTGCAGTCAGGAGCAGTCCCAGGGAACCTCCGCAGCAGGCCTGGCAGGGAGCTGGGCTCCCTCCTGAGCCCACTGGCCTGCAGGTACCTTGGAGGGCTGGCCATTGCACAGCATCCGGAACAGGCACAGCTGGGGGAGAGCCCTTCCTCTTTGAGTGCGGCCTTTGTGTCCTGCCCTTTAGGGGATAATCACCTCTTTGCTGGGCTGGACATTGAACAGCAGAAGAGGCTGCACTGAGCAGGCTGTTGCCAGGGGCCATCAGGAAGCTGGACTGGAATTGAGGAAGAGCCAGGCACGATTTGGAGAGGGTGTGGATAACAGAGTCATCTCCTCTGCCTTTCAGATAACCTCTAGTGACTGAGGCCTCCAGTCCGCTGGCAGTTTGCCTGGCCCAGAGAGAGGAGCCAGCCCCACAAGGCAGGAGCCTCCTTAAATAACAGAGCTTTGCAGCCCCACAGCCCATCCCAGGTAAGGGTATTTACTGCCTGTCAGTGTGTGTCAGTGGTGGGCATCAGCCTGCAGGACTGTGTGTGCGCTTGTGAGTGTGTGTGATGTGTCAGTGTGAGTGCTGTGTAACTGTGTGCATGCTGTGTGTATGCTGCATATCTGTGCTGCGTGTCATTGCATACAGTGCGTGCCATGGGTCACTGTGAACACTGTGTGGCTGTGTGAGCTGCTCCCAGCCTGTCAGCATGGAGTGTGCTGGGAGTGTGAATGCTGTGTGTTAGCTTGTTATGTGTGTGTGTGAGCATATAAGTCACTGTGTGTGTGGTGTGTGCCTCTTGAGCACTGCCTGTCAGTGTGTGTGCCGGGTGTGTCACTGCTGTGTTGCGTAGCAGTGGGAGTGCTGTGTGTTGGGGTGTGTGCTGGGTGTGTCACTCCTATGTTGTGTAGCAGGGTGTGTGCTGTGTATGACAGGTATGTCATTCTTCTGTTGTGTAGCTGTGTGTCAGTGTGTGTGCCGGGTGTGTCACTCCTGTGTTGTGTAGCAGGGTGTGTGTTGTGTGCCGGGTGTGTCACTCCTGTGTTGTGTAGCAGGGTGTGTGTTGTGTGCCGGGTGTGTCACTCCTGTGTTGTGTAGCAGTGGGAGTGCTGTGTGTCAGTGTGTGTGGTGGATGTGTCACTCCTGTGTCGTATAGCAGGGTGTGTGCTGTGTTGTCCCTGTGGCTGGGTAGGTAGAATGTAGCACACTGCAGCCAGGCACAGCGGGCAGCCTGGTGATGAGGATTTGCTGCCTTCCAAGCCCTGGTGGCTGTGATGAAGGTGCAGGGTAGGCCCAGCGGGCCCAGCTAACTCACCAGCTCTTCCACGCGCTTCCTGCTGATCCCCACTGCATTAGAGCAAGACATTTGGGATGAATGAGAGATTTGGATGGGGTAAAATACCTTGACCAGTTCGCTCAGCTGGCCCTTTGGGCAGCCCCTTAGCCAGGTGGTCCCTTCTGGGGCTGCACCATAGCCAGACAGCCCTGTTGAACGGTCCTGTGGCCAAGCAGCCTCCTTTAGGTGGTTCCGTGGGTGCATGGCCCCATGATCAGTTCTTGCAGAGCTTGGTTGGAGCGTGCTGAAGGCAGCTCCCTGCTAACACAGGGTAGGGATTTGCCAGGCCTGCAATGAAGGAGCCTCCATCGTCCTCTCCAGAGGGACAGGGCTGTCTCCTTGCCACTAGGAAGGCAATACCTACAGTGACAGTCACCCTTTCACCCCTGACACATTGGTGCCTTCTCAGCCCCCAACCCAAGAGGACTGGGATGGGGGACATGGAAGAGAGAGAGAAGCCAGGGCGGAGCGAATGTGTGTGAGATAATGTGGGGAGAGTGACATAATCAATGGCAGGGGTCAAATGCACAAATCCAGAGGCAGAGTGGGGAGCCCCGACTACCTGAGAAAGGGCCCCTGAGACCTAGGAGGGGGAGGGGGAGTAACAGGCTACTTATGCATCTGGGATTTCTAGGGGAGACATCAGAGTCTGTCCCAGGCTTTGGTCAGGGAGTGCTGAGCCCCTCCCCAGAATCCCCCCTCCCCAAGCCCAGCCCTGGGAAACTGACAGGTAGGTACTGGAGAACAGAGGCCTGTGGGGAATGCCTGGCGACTCCCATGTCTTGCAGCTGTGCTGGGCAGCCAGCCAGGGCTCTGGGGTGTGCTCCTTGGGTCTGCCCAAGGAGCAGAGAGTGAGGCGCTGGCTCCAGCCACCCAGTGATCCCCATTGAACACTTGCAGATTTCAAATCTCTCTTGAGCCGAGTCTCCAACTTCCTGTTGCTTTGTGTTTCCAGCCTTTTCCTGCGAGTGGCTGCAGGGAATGTGGAGCTGAGGCTGGGGCAGCGCGGCAGGTCTGATCGGTGGCTACACCCCCTGCATCCCCACCAACAGAGCATGCCACTGCAAAGGTGAGCCCGGTCCGCTCCTCACCCCAGCAGGACGCTTCCTGGATCTGGGTCTGGTGCCCAGCTACTACCCTGGGGCAGCTGCAGGCTCCGCGAACCTCAGTGACTGCGAGTGGGAGAGACGAAGTCAGAGCAAAGGAATTCACACACACATTCTTCAGCCCTGCCAGGATCTTACCCAGAAAGAGGAGTACAGGCTGGGTGGGGGCAGGGCACCTGTGGAAAGGTGCAGGGAGCCCTCCTTGCAGGCTGCACTGAGCATATGCCTGGTGGGAGCTGTCCTGGGATGAACTGGAGCCCTGACTCATCTGCTCCAGGGCCAGGAGAGAGCCTGGCTGTCCCTAAGCCTCTTGCCTGAGTTTGCTATTTCCAGCTGATGATGATCTGGCTTGGAAAGCGAGAGCACACAGAGAGTGGGAGATCTCTCCATGACAGGGCTGCCACAGGATTAAGCATCTGAGAAAGGCACTGCGGGGAGGAAGAACTTTGATCATTAGATTGGAACCTAGGAGCAGAAAGGCTCCGCTCAGCAGAATGCTGCTGTGACTGCAGCCACTTCCTGTGCACGCCTCCATCTGCGGAAGCAGCACCTCTAGGAATGCGGGGGAAGCTGGGGTTACTGGAATCCAGAGGGAACTTGGTTGCCTAGAGCTGCACCTTTCTCCCAGGATGTGCCCCTGCTCCAGCGGCTTTCTCCAGCCCTATCGCTTCACTGCCCGAACACGATTGAAAGCTCTGCATGCTGCCGGCGTGTTCTAGCCTCATGCAGGCTCCCCTTGCAGAGCCCAGAGCAGCGGACAGCAATGTGAAAACCATCCTCATGTCGTGTCTCAAAGGGCAACAAGTCATCATCAAAATGGAGGCGATGAAGATCATCCACCCAGAGAAGTTCTCGGAACTCCAGGCCTCCCAGCCGCGCTACACCTCAGCGCCCCGCCGGGAGCCCCCCCTCGTGGCCAAGCGTGCCTGGCCATCAGAGTCCGAGATCATTGTCAATCAGGCTTGCGGGGACATCCCTGCCCTGGACAGTAATCCTGGCTCTCTGGGGCTGCCCCGGACTCCGCCCCTGCCGCGGCGAGAGCGAATATACCAAGGGCAGCGCAAGGGCAGCTCAGAGGTCTGTTACCACCGCCAGCCGCCCTCAGACGAGGTGATCGTTAACCAGTACGTTCTGCACCCCTCCACACCGTGCGAGCCCCTCGAGTGCCCCACCTGCGGCCACATGTACAACTTCACCAACAAGCGGCCCCGCATCCTCTCCTGCCTGCACTCGGTGTGCGAGGAGTGCCTGCAGATCCTCTATGAGTCCTGCCCCAAGTACAAGTTCATCTCCTGCCCCACCTGCAAGCGGGAAACCGTGCTCTTCACCGACTACGGGCTGGCCGCTCTGGCAGTGAACACCAGTATCCTGAACAGACTGCCGGCTGAGGCCCTGGCTGCCAACCCCGTGCAGTGGAGCAGCGACGCCGACCGCAGCTGCTACCAGACCTTCCGCCAGTACTGCGGCGCTGCCTGCACCTGCCACATCCGAAATCCACTGTCTTCCTGCACCATCATGTAACCTGTGCACCCCGCCCTGCCTAGCTCTGCACCGCCTCCCTGCCCCGGGGGCCGGACAGCGTGAGAGAAGCCTACGGACCAGTCCCAGGGGATGACAGGACCGAGTGAGGGTGGCAGGTCTGACTAGCTCCCCTGGCACTGCAGGTGCTATACACATCATCCCCCGGCCCAGCTCCCCGCTCCAGCACAGGGCATCCCCACCTGCTCAGTGCTCAAGTTTAGGTGGGGGCTGCTGGGAACACAGCCCCCTTGGTAATATGAAGCCATTGGCCTAGCAGAGGTGCTCCCCTTGGGCCTGGCAGTGCTCCAGAGCAAGGGACATTCCTATCCTGCGGCTCACGGTCCCCCTGTGCATCTGGACAGGTGCCACCCAGCCCGCTGTGCTCACTCCCTGGGCAGCTTGCTTCCTGTCCCCTTCCCCTGGCTCTGTGGCCTGGTCAGGGTGGAGCAGCTCCGCCCAGGCGCAGCCCCACCACTGGCCTGGCTGACCCACGGCGCTGGCGCCCCCATGCTGCTCAGCCCACGCAACCTACAGAGGTGACACAGGTGGAGAGCCTGGGAGCTTCCCAGGGCTGAACTGGGCTGCACGTGAGACCTGAACCTGCCTCCCACAGGGATGGGATGGGGAGGTTGCCACACGTCAGTCAGACCCTCTCTGCATTATTTGCCAAAGCTTTCATCTCAGTGGCCAAGCTGGCATGCGTCAAAGTAACTGCAGCCAATTAAACCCGTTGCCATTGGCCTCCCATTATTAACGGACGTAGCCCATTTCCTCCACAGGCCCTCCAGGAAAGCTCCCATTTGTCCTCGTTTTGGAGGATCTTTGTTTGCCCATCCCTGTCTGGGGACGCCCCATCCTTTGGGTGGTTCGTGTTAATAAAGGCATTGAGTTGTGATCCTTCTTCCATGGGTTCTGTATGTCTCTGGGAGGGGAGGGACCTGCGGATCTCCTTGCTCAGCCTTTCTGCTCCATGCTGCCAGGTGCGCAGTAGTGCAGAGGCTGAAGACTTTACAAAGTGTGCCATGCCATGTTCCTCCCTTCTACCCCTCCAGCAAGGCTTCTGTTCCCCAGTAGGGCAGCCCAGGAGTGAGGGCCCCAGAGGGTATCTGGCTAGCAAGCCAAGGCCACCAAAGCCCCTTGTTCTACAGACTGCAGAGGATGGGGTGACCAGTCGGACTATGACAGCGTCCCTGTCCCCAAAGGGGCAGTGGTGAGAGTGGCTACCCAGCACCATGCCCTCTGTTATCTCTCACACAGGTGGGAGAGCAGGGAAGCAGCTGCCCTGCTTGGAGATTTTATCTCTTCAGAACATTTTGGGGAGAGCTTGCTGCAAAAAAGCAAAAAATAAGAAAAGAAAAAAAGAATAAAACAAGCCATAAGCTGCGAGGTACGGAGGTGCGAGGGAGCTGAATGCATACTCCCTGGGGAATGCTGCCCAGGGTTGGGCCCAGATCAGCCAGGATCTGGGCCCAAGTGAGCTCTGGACACGCAGCTCAGCTCACCCCACAAATGTCGGTGTGAGTTTGTGCCTACTTATTACACTGCCACAGCCCCAAGAGCCAAACGTTCAGCGGAGAGGCTCAACCACCCCCCTCTCCAGGGGGCCCAGAGCTGGCCTCGGTGCCGTTAGGGAGAGGGAAGGTGAGAGCCAGCAAGCAGCCCTGCAGGGTCCCTGGGGAAGATACTGCAGACAACCCCCCTGGCTCACAGCCAGAGCGTGAGCACTCCCTGTAGCCCCGCCAAGGGTGGAGGAGAGTCCCGAGAGGCCATGCTCACTGGGCAGTGGTGGGACAGGGCTGGGGAGAGCACTGAGAACAGGGCCTGACATTGTTTCATTTTCGCTCTGCCGATTCCTCCTGTCGCTGGTTGTGACGATGCTCCTGTTTTCTACCTGGCCTTGTTAATCCCTGCTCCATCTCCCAAATAAAGATTATACTGGAACGAACCACACCGAGTATCTATAGAGTATGTTGCATGGGGCAAGGAGCTGGGGCGCTTAGCTGGGACTAGACGAGGCCAGGATTCTTGTGGAGGTATTTACAAACCTCACCAGCAGCCTGCTGCTGGCCCCTGGCTGGCTCATCCCAGTGCAGGGGAGGCCCCCAAGACAGGACCTGGCAGCTCATGGGAGTGAGCCCGGCAGGAAAGGCTTTCTCCAGGGACAAGGACCTGTGCTAGCCCTCTCCTCCCCTGAGCTCTCTGCCCGGGACTAGGCCCCCATGCCTAACGCAGGTCTCTGAGCTGCATGCGAGGAACAGGGATTGTTATGGAGTCGCTCTGGCCTGGGCTCCAGGCAGCAACTGCCGGCTCCATCCTTCCCCGCACATGCAGCCCTTGTCATGGGCAGTTAACAACCCTCCAGGGATGTTTTATAAACTATTGATACCAAGACAATTGGTGCATTAAAAATACATTGAGAGACGGACAGTCGGACACTACTGAGAACTGCATGGCCACCATGCTGCGGCTGAAGGTTTATTTGCATAACATGGAGAAAGTTCTGCATAAAGCCTGTACCCAACCCAGAGGCTCTGGTTACCCCCTCTGGCCCCTCCACTGCCCGCTAGTATGTCCAGCCAGACAAATGCTATGTGTGAGCAGTCCAGGTGCCACTAGGCCCCATGCCCTGTAGGAGCATGTCCTCCCACTATTGCCAAGTGCAGTCATGGTCAGGGAAGAACATTTGCTTCCTTTGGATTATTTTATGAATAAGGGGAAACAATCTAGACGACCGCAGCGTTACCGCTCAACATTAAAGCAGTCAGGATGTGGAGAAGCGAAGTTTCTCCAGATGCTGGTGCATTTTTACATTAACGATACCATTAAGCAGCATGTTTTACCGGGAAAAGCAAGAATTAAATAGACATATACATTTAAGCTTCCAGCATCAACGTTAACTGAGGGTGCGCGTGTGTGTGTGTCTACACAGGTGCCTATACTTCTATGTGTGCATGTGTCTGTGTGTGTGCGTGCACCTCTGTGTGTATCTCTGGGTGTGTGCGCATACATGTACTTCTCTGTGTGTACATGTGTGTGCATGCATGACCTCTGTGTGTGCGTGTACCTCTGTGCATATGTCATGTACCTCTGTGTGTGCATGTGTGTGAAGGAACCTCTGTGTGTGCGTGTGCATGGAACTGTGTGTGCATGTGTGCCTGTACCGCTATGTGTGTGCGTCTGCATGTGCATGGACCTCTGTGTGTGTGCGCGCGTGTGTGTGTATTTACATGTGTGTGTCTATACCTCCATGTGTATTGTCAAGAATCCTTATCGGGGTTACAGGGGCAAACCATCCCGATGTGTAGAAAGAATAGTAAATATGGCAGGCGACCAGCTTGGCTTAACAGTGAAATCCTTGCGGATCTTAAACACAAAAAAGAAGCTTACAAGAAGTGGAAGATTGGACAAATGACCAGGGAAGAGTATAAAAATATTGCTCGGGCATGCAGGAGTGAAATCCGGAAGGCCAAATCACACCTGGAGTTGCAGCTAGCAAGAGATGTTAAGAGTAACAAGAAGGGTTTCTTCAGGTATGTTAGCAACAAGAACAAAGTCAAGGAAAGTGTGGGCCCCTTACTGAATGAGGGAGGCAACCTAGTGACAGAGGATGTGGAAAAAGCTAATGTACTCAATGCTTTTTTTGCCTCTGTCTTCACGAACAAGGTCAGCTCCCAGACTGCTGCGCTGGGCAACACAGCATGGGGAGGAGGTGGCCAGCCCTCTGTGGAGAAAGAAGTGGTTCGGGACTATTTAGAAAAGCTGGACGAGCACAAGTCCATGGGGCTCGATGCGCTGCGTCCAAGAGTGCTAAAGGAGTTGGCGGATGTGATTGCAGAGCCATTGGCCATTATCTTTGAAAACTCATGGCGATCGGGGGAGGTCCCGGACAACAGGAAAAAGGCTAATGTAGTGCCCATCTTTAAAAAAGGGAAGAAGGAGGATCCTGGGAACTACAGGCCAGTCAGCCTCACCTCAGTCCCTGGAAAAATCATGGAGCAGGTCCTCAAGGAATTAATTCTGAAGCACTTGGAGGAGAGGAAAGTGATCAGGAACAGTCAGCATGGATTCACCAAGGACAAGTCATGGCTGACTAATCTAATTGCCTTCTATGATGAGATAACTGGCTCTGTGGACGAGGGGAAAGCAGTGGCCGTGTTGTTTCTTGACTTTAGCAAAGCTTTTGACACGGTCTCCCACAGTATTCTTGTCAGCAAGTTAAAGAAGTATGGGCTGGATGTATGGACTATAAGGTGGATAGAAAGCTGGCTAGATTTTCGGGCTCAACAGGTAGTAATCAATGGCTCCATGTCTAGTTGGCAGCCGGTATCAAACGGAATGCCCCAAGGGTCGGTCCTGGGGCCGGTTTTGTTCAATATCTTCATTAATGATCTGGAGGATGGCGTGGACTGCACCCTCATCAAGTTTGCAGATGACACTAAACTGGGAAGAGAGGTAGATACGCTGAGGGGTAGGGATAGGATATAGAGGGACCTAGACAAATTAGAGGACTGGGCCAAAAGAAATCTGATGAGGTTCAACAAGGACAAGTGCGGAGTCCTGCACTTAGGACGGAAGAATCCCATGCACCGCTACAGACTAGGGACCGAATGGCTCGGCAGCAGTTCTGCAGAAAAGGACCTAGGGGTTACAGTGGACAAGAAGCTGGATATGAGTCAGCAGTGTGCCCTTGTTGCCAAGAAGGCCAATGGCATTTTGGGATGTATAAGTAGGGGCATTGCCAGCAGATCGAGGGACGTGATCGTTCCCCTCTATTCGACATTGGTGAGGCCTCATCTGGAGTACTGTGTCCAGTTTTGGGCCCCACAGTACAAGAAGGATGTGAAAAAATTGGAAAACGTCCAGCAGAGGGCAGCAAAATTGATTAGGTGACTGGAACACATGACTTATGAGGAGAGGCTGAGGGAACTGGGATTGTTTAGTCTGCGGAAGAGGAGAATGAGGGGGGATTTGATAGCTGCTTTCAACTACCTGAAAGGGGGTTCCAAAGAGGGTGGATCTAGACTGTTCTCAGTGGTAGCAGATGACAGAACGAGGAGTAATGGTCTCAAGTTGCAGTGGGGGAGGTTTAGGTTGGATATTTTGAAAAACTTTTTCACTAGGAGGGTGGTGAAACACTGGAATGCGTTACCTAGGGAGGTGGTGGAATCTCCTTCCTTAGAGGTTTTTAAGGTCAGGCTTGACAAAGCCCTGGCTGGGATGATTTAGTTGGGGATTGGTCCTGCTTTGAGCAGGGGGTTGGACTAGATGACCTTCTGGGGTCCCTTCCAACCCTGATATTCTATGATTCGATGATTCTCTGTGTGTGTACGTGTGTGTGCACACATATACCTCCATGTGTGTGCCTGTGTGTACGTGTGCACGTCTCTGAGTGTGCAAGTGTGGGAGTGCACATGTGTGTATGCGTTCATGTGTGTCCAGTGCAGCTCAGGTAACACAGATGTGGGAAAGTTTATGGTCCCGTGACATTCTGTGATTGCAGCCGGGCAGCATTAACATGGCATTATCCACGTGTTTTGCTCTCACACCGCTGCTGAGGAGGAAACAGTGCCTGCAGGCAGCCCCTCAGCCCCTGAGCCGTGAATGGTTGGACTCCCATTCTCCCATAACACAGACGGGACTGGCTGGGAGTCTTTGGCCCGTGACAAAGAAGCCATCCAACGGTGACTGCAGAATTACCCCTCCCCGCCCTACTGGAGTGTGGATCTGCTAAGCAGGGAACTACAGTTCCCCTCAGCCCCCTCCCCCCTGCACTGCCCCTTCCCTGGGCCAGGCAGGATGGAGGACCCTGAGCAGGAAGTGGCTGGGCTCCATTTGGAAGCAGTGGCCCTGGGCTAGCCAGGAGCTGCAGAGAAGCTGAATGCAGAGAGGAAGCCCCAGGAACCGTATGCAGAGGTGTGTGGAACAGGCTGGGAGTGCCGGATATCACAGCTGGGGGCAGTTCTGTGGGGGACTCATGGAGGAGCAGCAGCAGCTGGGCAGGGAGCCACTGCAGAGGGGTCCCAGTGCAGGGGGCCCGAGGAGCCCTGACTCTCAATAGATTGCCCCAGGCGCCCAAACGAGAGCCACAACTGCTCACTGTACTGAGAGTACCTGCAACGCTCCCCCTTCCTGCCAGCCCTAGCAAGATACCCTTTCCCTCAGCCATGGTAAGACCCACCAGGGCAGCACCTATAACACCTACCACGCTTGCCTCTGAGTTGTGGCCCACCTGGCCCGCAGCGGGTACCTTAGGCTGGTTTGGTGTGTGTTGGCACTGAGCAGCCCTTCCCCTGGCCGCCCTGCCAGGGGGTGTGTTGCTCAGACTGATTCCCGGCCTCCACCCCCAACGTGTCAGCTCAGCTGGCTCACTCAGCTACTGAGCTAGGCGGGCTGGTTCCTCCGCCAGCCGTGAGGGCAGCTGGGAAAGCTCTGTGCTGGTTCAGAGGATTAAATGCTCAGAGCGGCTCCGCTGGGAAGGATGCTCCTCCCTGGGCTCCTGCTAGGACAGGCATTCAGCTCACAGATCCACAGCTTTGAGCTTCCCCAGCCCAGCTCCCCCGGCTATTGCCCATGCAGGGGCGGGGAGACAACAAACCAGTCCAGGGAGGTGGGAGCAGAGCCTGAGCCAGGCCAGCTCGCTGCCCTGGGGAGGGGGGTGCGTTGCTGTGGGGTGGTACCCTTGCTTACAATGTCTTGCTGAGCACAGGGGGCAGTTCCTGGGGACCGGGACCTGCACACTGTTTAGCGATTCCCACTCAAACCTCTGAGCGGGGTGCAAAGGGTATTTCACATGGCATACATTCCTGGCTTCCCTGCGCCAGGCTCTGCACCAAAGGGGAGCAGATCCCCATCCTGGGGTTGCAGCAATTGAAGCATAAGGATACCTCACCCATCCTCCTGCTTCTGGCCAAACCCCAGCACACCACTAATCTGCCCCAGTCATGG